GGTTCTGAAGTTATTTCGTCAGGCAGGAAAATCCGACTTATTTTTATATATATAGAAGATATAACCAGTTGCTTATAGGAACATAATTGGAAAGGATATATAAGTAATAATATCAGTAATATTTTTAACTTGGAAATCCCCAAAGGCGCGTTGCCCACTTGCGCATCGCAACCCTACACAAGCCGTAGATCCAGGTTAAGCGCACATCCTGGGACATGGAATGCGACGCAATCCTTTTTTAAGAACCATAATTTCAATAGATTCTTATTATTTTCGATGATAAGTTGATCCATATTACTAGCAACAAATTTTCAGTATGTTCGAATTAAATCATGAGAGTATTAAAGAATATATATGAATATTAAAAGTAAGTTCATTCCTCTTATTCGTTACCACAAATGTATGTATATTGACAATCATTTTGATTCCGTTCTTATTGATCAATATCAACAATGAATATAACAATTTATATGTCTCTCTAACAAAACGTATCCCACTGAGATTGTTTGGTTAAAAGTGAAACTTCCGCCGGTGCGGCTAGACGCAAAACGTGAATGTTTTATACGTTCAATGTATCTCTTGTTCTAGTCATGTCCGTGCAGACATATGTCGAGTACTTGCGGTGTTCCAGCTGCAAACAATAACCGCGACTCGGTTTCAATGAAATGAATTTCATTTTCAATACTCATAAAGACGGATTTATAACGAATAAATCTTTTAACTACTATTACGCCATTTAAGACCCATTTAAAACGCCCGTTAAAATTTAACTGGAATGCAGACTAGATTTCAACATTATGAAGCGGTACTCTACGTCGAAACACTTTGTCTTATGTTATGTTAGTCAAATTTATGATTAACATCTATATAGGGTGTCCCAAAACTTAACGTCAAGCCAAAAAAATGATAGTATTGGCTGTAACTGTCCTGAAAAAATTTAGGAAAAATAATATCTAACGTTGTTTGGAGTTCATGAGTTTTCAAGTGCTACCTTGAGCTTTGGAGAATTTGTGACCTTTTTTCGGTTATTGTGCTTAATTTCTTTTAATTTTGTTTATTCAAATCTTGGATCTGTAACCGTAAATAACATTGCTATAAAATAATGACGCAATTGTTCCAAATTTTCAGGAATTATGACTTTTTGTTGAATTATGAATTTAAATGAAATCGATCCACTTTGAAAGGACCTCCTTTAAAAAATGTACTAAAGTATGGTGGCAAGTTTTATCTAAAGTTGGCGCATGTAATCAGAATTGTAAATGGTAAAACGCTTGATAGTTTTATGAATTTCCAGAAAAAAACATAAATACATAAAAATGTTTGTTATACGCGCAAGCTACAACAATGTCTTGTCAATGTCAGTTTTAAGTTTACAACCAAAATGGTCACAACTTCACCAAAGCTCTGGGTTACACTTAAAAGCTCATAATTTCCAAACAACGTAGAATGATTTTTTTCCATTTTTTTCAGGATAGTTAAGATCAATACTATCACCTCTTTTCGGTTTGAGTTCTGGGACACCCTGTTTAAACTATGTATTTAAAAATTAATAGATAAAAACTGAAAATATAATATGATTTAATTATGCAAACATTTTATTATAAGTAGATAATTATAGACCAATAATATGTTCAGTATATAACATGTTTGTAAAATGCAAAGCCTAACACTCTGTTTTTTATTTGAAACACTAACATCCGCCGGGTTTATTAAAGAACAACTGCAAAATAATAGATAAAATTTAATAACATAGTTAACTAAATGCGTCTAGTGTAATCAAATTAATAATATTTATATAATTTCGTGGCCATTACTCATTTAATAGATTAGGATATTAAACGTGGTTATTATTATTATAATTAAGTGGCCTGATTTATAATCTGAAATTAATTACGACACCTAATCCGCCTGTTATTAAACTCTATTGTTATTTTACAAAGCCTCAAATACAATCAGACCTGATTACCACGACCTTACTCAACTGAATGAATTCTCTTATTCTTGGCTACCAGTTCTAAAACTCTTTTTATCCGCTTACATCTATAACACGTACATTTATCTTTTATCCAAATGTCTAGATCAAAAACTGCTCTCAATATTTAAATCTAACAGATTAATTTAGAACCGGTTTAATTCCCGGCGGAAATAATCAGACGGTAACAAAAAATGAATTCAATTGCAATTTATGTGTAATATAATAGCACATTATATATATAGATCAATATATTTAATAGATTCGAAAAGAAAAGGTTATGTAAGACCGGTATCATTTGAGTTATATATCGTTATATTGATTGGGATAGCAAAATTGTTTTGCAATATTCAATTATTGTTACAGCAGAAAACTCGGATACATATAAGTATGTTTTTAGCACTTTTGCAGTTGAATATCAGATATGGGAACTTTCTTTTCGTTCCACATATTGCGCAATGTATCTCTGAATATTGTAGCTATAACATCGTTCTTAAAATAAGCAATAAATGATAAATCTTGAAGTTAACTTCGCAGAACAGATTTGAATGTTTCAGAGAAATTTTAGCAGTAAATCACAACAGACAGATTATTGCAAAACAAATAATGGATTTTATTATGGGTTATCTCAGAATTGTTCATTTCTTGAAACGTATCATTTGGGTTTATGGAATATGTATTTTCCCAAAGTATAAAAATTATAGAGTATATAAAACTTTATATCTTTCGTATATTTATAAGTGAGAAGTCTTTATAAATATAGTGTTCCATGACGCGTCTCGGCTGAATTATAATTTTTGACAATATCAAATAATTCGTATACAAATAAGAATAGCACATTTATGCAATGCAACAAGCGAAACTAAATGGCAAATCATAATTCTATCATTTCATATTATGGAAACTCCCAAGTATACAATTACTACTTCTTTAACCATTTCCCATTACATTGTGACGTAAAATGTACTCACTAAGCATTAAGCTCAACATGCGTGATTTATTAAACATAAATTGTATGGAAACTGCCGTGCAAATTAATATTCGTATTCAATATTGCGTTTAATGCAATTGTTATGTTACCGTATAACGCGCTGTCCGCGCTTGTGCAACGCAACCCTAAACGACCTGTCGATCCAGGTTAAGCGCACATTCTGGGACTTTGAATTCAGCCTAATAACGCTCATTTAGAACACTGATTTTAAAATAATTCTGATCTTTTCAAAATCATCAAAATTTTCATCAAATTTAAACAAAGAACATCAAGATAAGAATTGAAAGCCACTATTTCGCACTTTTAGCACAAAACTATATTTCTAATCCTTTCTTGAATTTCCGCATTGTCTCTATAAACAAAAACGGCTTCGGGACAATCGATCTGCCATTCTCCGCAAATGGAGTACATATCGTGAAAAAATCTTGAGAAAGTCGTTTGAAACATAATCGTCGTGCATTCACAAAAAAACTTACCCAAAGGGGTTTCAAATTGCTTTTATGTAAGACCCACATAACCAAATGCATATAGAATTAAGATACGTCGAAACTTACATGAAAATTATCGTAACCACTGATTTAAAATACAGATGCAGATCGATCTACTGTGATAATTTTTCTAGAGAATTTAGTGAAACTAACAATAAAACCTACAAAAACGCATATTCCAATTGATACAGAATTAGAAATCCAAATAAGCATTCTTTTTGACGCCAACGTTTTTTTGGAAACATACATCAATTGCTTTTGTACACCTACCGAAACATTTATTCATGAAAAGTAAAAGTACATTAAAATAAAAAAAATATCGATCGTTATTGATCTATTGATGGAATATGCGCTTAAGTAATTTCTCTTTTACTGATGATAAAAAATTATTTGACAGCATTATACAACGGGATATTTTTAATAACTTTTGTTTAATTTCTAAAATGTTCATAGATTATACTTTTTATGTTATTTTGTTAAGTTTCACTTGCTTAATGATTGTAACAGTAAGCAATTAGAAGAAATTAGTTTTCATATTGTCTTTATTGCCTTATTTACTGAAGAAAGTAAAAAAAATCGTAAATTAAGATCGTTATCTATGATAACACGGGACAGAAAATTAATAAAAAAAAATTAATATGGACAATGTAGTTTTGGTCCTCATATATTATAATTATTTTGTATTAAAAGTTCGTTCAAAATCCTTGATTTATTAAACTTTAGTAGAAAACGTTCTGTTTCAATAAAACACTATTTGGATAAGTTCATAGGTACTATTTGGAAATCTGGGCCAAATAAGTTCAGGTCAAGGTTTCAGAGTCTGGTCAAATCTGGTCAAGTAAGAAATAACGACTATGACAGACTCACGTATGAAGGACGTAATTATCGAACCTTTTGAATAAAAAAAATCTTCAAATTATCAACTTATCTATTACCAATGTTTTCAAGTTAATAAAAAAATAAACATATACATTTCGCACATGATATTTAGAACAAATACATAAAATGTATACAAACTGTTACGCGGATAGACAATCTCGGAGTCGACCAGTGAAAGATAAAGAGAATAAAAATAGAAGTGGTCAGGTTTCGGTGAAAGTTCTTGCCAAACTTGTTATAATTACGTGTGCAAACACATATGATTTAATCTATTCGATTCTTTCTCTTGATGCATAACATAATATACCACAAAAAGGCGACCAGAGTAAAAAAAAATGAATATTCAACAATGGTAATAAATAGAGTTGTCATTTTTACATGTATCAGATTGCTTGGGTATATATAAATAAATACAACAAAAAATTATACGTCATGGTCTCATATATCAAGATGTATATGTTATGTTTACAGATTAATACAGGGTTTGATATGAATTTAATAATAAAAACGTCATAGAGTCGCATAAATATTAAATAAGCCAAATTGACTTGATCACCAATTGACCTAAATACTAAAAAATAGAGCTATCTGACCATAATTTTAATATAATGATTATTATTTAATATCATTTTTCCGAGTTGTAATTAAATGAACCGTATTTCTTTTTCAGAATGATAGTGAGCCTCTAGGTGAAATATATCAAGATGAAGATAATATGGCAGCTTTCTTAATACGAAAAGACACCGAAAACGGTGGAATCATAGTGGTAAGTAAAACGTTTGCAGAATAAATTTCATATTTTTGAACTCTTAACATAAAAACAATAAAATGGCTAGGTTTTTCTTGTAAAAATACTGGTCAAATTCGAGTACTTTGGTGATTCATAAAGTGCAGCAGCAACCCTCCGATAACGCGGTGATCTGGGAACGCGGTTTTGTTATTACGCGGAGCAGAAATTGTAACAACCCCTCCGATCACACGGTTTTCGTCCAACAATCCATAAGTTTCTCCAGCGCAAACTATAAATGACTGTAAAGATACTAATGTGCATTTGCATTAGGTTGTGCAAAGTCCTAGTATTGCTGTAATACTATCCGTTTTTTAATGCATCTTCTGAACATACATTTCAAGATATTTTCACTCTATTTATCATCTATACAATGACAAAACACCTCCAAACACCTAATGAGCAATCGAGATTAACTCATTAACATTCCTCTAACAAAAGGCGTTTAAAGACACAAAAGCAAACAATTTTCACTCCCGCCTCATGGACTTCAAATTATGCAAACAAATAAGATTAAATAATACACCTAATAATCTTTTTTCGCAATTGAATCATATAAAAGACAAAGCCAGCGCCTGCGGTGACCATAAAATCAAAATGCGGTGCAAATTCCATTAGTAACACTTTTGTAAATCTGTCACGAGTTGGAAATGCAGACGGCCGGACGTAGAAATATTCATGCACGGACTAAAATTTGAAAAGGAAGTCGTTTTGTGTTTATTTGTTAAAAATTGAGTCAAATTATATGTAAATAACCATCAAGTTTATGCAAGTAATATGACAAAAGTAGTTGCATGGTAGTATAAAGTCCTAGTATTTCTTCTAGTCATTCTATCTTATTTCTCATTCTATTCATTTCAAGGCATAAGTCTTACTTAAGGAACAAATATTTCCTTTTATTCTTCCTTTGTGTTACGATTTAGAGTTCAAACAGATGTATATGCCCCGTACACAAATACACAATTCTAGACCATAAAATCTTTGCAGCTGCGTTGTTGTATACTATTCACAAACGACAGTAGTATTTCATAAATAGCTTAGATTGTAATCAGAGCACAAGTCTCCATATCTCACTCTCTACAACCAACTCTTGTTGTGTTCTCTCAATTTATAAAAATCGTGAAATATGCCGCACTGTCATGACGAAGTCAATTCTTGTCGGGTCATGACTCTCAGAACGGCGGTGCAGACACGTGGGTGTGGAAAATGGACCCACTGTGCAAATATGGGTTGTGATTGCTTTAATAGACAGTATAACGGATTAGAATTGGTTTGGTAGATTAAATGATTTGATGAAATTGATAATGTGCATGCACCGATGACAGGGATTAGAAATTTAGAGGATAGTTGATCGGTTGAAGCGATACTGTAAGCTGGTTGACGCATGGAAATAAACCATCGATGCAATTTTGTGATTTTGAACGAGTCTGCCTCTACTTTTTCTTTGTGGATAAAATTGTTCGTTGTATTTACTTTTATTATGAGAAACTAGTGAAAAAGTGGCTCGGCCGATTGTCGAGCAAAACTGATCAACGCGAGTCCTGACCCATCAATTTTCATTTCATCCAATAGGCCTTTAAAGGTTTGAGATGGGTGCTACCATTTCAGAAAAAATGTCGATGAAATAACGCATACGTATACACATACTATTTCCAATTTTGAACTCACAAAACAGCAAGTCAGATTTTCTGGCAAAAACAAAGCCTGAACTTCTCCTTCGGGCACATGACGTTTAAGGTATCACAGCAAAACATTGATTGAAGTACATGCAATTCTGATAAATCAATCTAAATGACCGATTTGGATGTTTATTAAAAATAAATATGAAAAATTGTATTGCTTGAACTGTTTTAGATACATAAAGCTAGTATCACCCATATTGAATTGACACTGATCGTCACGATTTGTGGGTCTGTGAACAAAAATTTGGGAACGTGAAAAATTAAGCCATGTCTCCATTATCCCCTGCCTATTTCTTGTTGCAATTTGATTTAATTATTCACGTACATCTAATTAATTTTAATTAGAACAAAAGCGCGCAATCTTCTCATATCAACTCCATGCAATCAACGGCACGTCTAGTACCTAAGCCAAGATCTCTCCACTTTCAGACAAAGACTTATTATTCAGGTCCTTATTTGGATTCGTAATTTACGCAAAATTTTTTGCACAGGTGACAAATCTACAAAATCTTTTTCCACCACGGTTCAAGGATCTATGCATACGTAATTCTCTCTAGACCGGTTTTATAATATTTGAACGGGACGAGCTGTCTGAATCTCATACGACACGGTTATAAATTTGGATTTCAAGCGGGATTCATCGAAAATATGCAAAATGAATATAATTATGTTTTATATTTGTATTTGTGATTCTTAACTTTGCGTAAATGTCACCTGAAACGAAAATTTTTATATAACAAGTTGATTGTAAATCGGTGGTTATCTTAATGTTATGCAATTTACTTCAGTGCCTAATTTTGCTAATTGTTTTCCAAGGACTAACTTGTAAAAGCGTTTTAGATTTTTATAGATATATAAAATGGTAATAAATAGTATTTATATGACAACGATATATCATTACATATACAGACATAAAACGGATCTCTAAAGAAATAAAACACGAAAATATTCATGGCTAAAGGTTACACTTCTGCATTTAAGTTTTCATGACTGCTTTCTATTTACCAACAATTTATAAAAGATAATAAATTTTATTGCACCTGATTTAATATATGACTAAAATGGATTATGCAGAATTAATTATCATATTTATAAATAATTACATTCTTCAAATAAACATTTTTTATTGCCCCAAGAAAAATTTCACATGGTGCAATTATGAATCCCAATTACTTAGAATATAGTAATTTATTGAAAATACAAATCCAAAGATTTCAAGTAAATTTTATTAAAAGAATGTGTCTTTTACTCTCAGAGAATACGTGCTCGACCAGAAGAAGTGCAATGTCAAGCCATCAATAGCGTTTTTTGTACTTAAATTATTCTGGACACAAAGTTAACATTGAAATACTTTGGACGAATTTTAACATGCAAACTTTTCATTTCACGTCACTGATTGTAAGTTTAGTAAACGAAACAAATACAGAATTGTCCCACTTTCGCTCTTCTCTGTTTTGTAATTATGCATTCTAAGGCTATCTCTTGGTGATGATTAAATTACAAAAAAAAATAATCAAAGTCAAATAGACATTAGAATAAAAAAAATTAAAAATATTGTTATGAACTAGATATTTTATTAATGAATTTCAAGATAATAATATGTTTTTTCTTTAATTTTCAGGAGGGCAGTGTTGGCGAAGATTTGATAATAAGACCTCTACCACCAGCTTACAGAAATTCCTCATTGGATCAACACGTGGTCATCAAAAGAGATGCTAATGAAAGGATAGCAGCTGGAGATTATGGTAAAAATTTAAAATAGTCAGCAAATATATAAATAACAAGGAAATAATTGAAATTACTGTGAAATCTTGATTTTTAATTACTGATGACTTATTAACCAGAAGAATTTTTTAATTAGGACGCGTATTATTTTAAGAAACGTGACATAATAAGAATATAATCGACGATGCTAATGTACATATTAAAATTCCTATCATATTACTTGAATTAAATTAATTTCAATGAAAAACCACTTGCTAATGACTACACTTTATAAATAACAACCTTTGGCTTCAAATATCGATTTTAATATCATGTAAAAAAGTTGGTTTGAATAGTAGAAATGTTATTATTAATTTTTTTATAAACTATATAGTTATTAAGAGGCACAACTAGTGTAACCGCCTAAAAAAGGGTGATTTTTGGGAATTTAAATTAAAAAAAATACTTCATCAATCATTTCAAAATTTTAAAAATATATTTACACATGTTTTAAGAATAGTAAATAAATAGTAAAATTTTTGAAGAAAAAAATAAAATATTTTTTAAGTTATCGTCGATCTCCAACGGCGCGAAAAAAAAGGCCCTTCACTGCTGCAGTGATTCCGGCCTTCTACGTGGATGAAATTTAAAAAAAAATCTCATTAAACTAAATAATATTGTATGTACAATAAAAAAACCTACAATAAAAAAAATAATCAAAAATTGACAAAAATGTCAAATTTTACCCAACATTTTGGTCGTTTTTGGACTGCCAAAATTCGATTTTTGGTCCGATCAAAAAATCGTTAGGTTATTTTACGGAGAACTATATATAGAATATGTAAAAAAAATTGATAGTGGTCGAATCATTTGTTTTTGAGTAATCGCTGTAGCAAATTCGGAAAATGCTGTTTCGAGAAAAACGCGTTTAAAGATAAAATGATCGTTATACTATATACTATATATACTATTTAAAACATCGATTTAAAATTTTGGTATGTTATTTTTAAAGGTATAACCTATCGAAATATGGAGAAATTGAAAATTCGATGTTTTGAAAATTTCACACTAGTTGTGCCCCTTAAGAGTATCATTGAAACATAGTAACTCAAATTAAATAAACGCACAAAAGCAACATTTTTAAAAAAGCCACAAGAAGTATCTCTTAGCAGCAGCTCTTAGGACTACTCTAGAAAAACGCCATCCCATTTATAACTGGTCACGTCAATTACAAAACCAAAAAACTATCAATTACCATAAAAAACTGAAATATATTTTTAAATACTTTTCTGTCACATTAAATAAACGTCTCTTGTCTCTTGATGTACAATAATTTGCTACTAAATCATATTTCTTTTACCCGTTACTAGACAGATATCGATATTTGATCTCTTCTGGCTTGTCAAACTCCATGAGATCTCGTGTCTTTTAAATGTTAATTTTATTGCGCCGGTACTGAGATTCATTATTTCGGTTTTTTACAGATGTCTTTGTTCAGATGTAGAATACGTGTTTAAAAATAAGATATTTATGACAAGTAGTTTTGTTTATGACATTATTCAGTACATTGCACTCTTTCAGGTTGAGAGGAAAAGACAATGTCGTAGCTTTGTATTTGGTAAAGATAGACAGTATACCTTTGAATTGAGGAGGAGAATTTAAAGTGTTTGAATTATTATGTAATATGTACTGACATGTCTATAACTTTTGTACAAGAGGTGTATTTTGGAGTTAGCAAAAACTAAACGCAAAAACCAACAGTCTAGTTACTTTGAATTTATGGAGAAAAAAAAATTCCTCAAGTCCAAAAAATAGTCGTTAAAAATGTTGAGAATTAAGCCAAAATTTGACCTTTCATCGGTTCTCCAAAAAAAAATTTGAAAATCTAAAAGCCATTTGAAAAAATTCGATAAGAAGCCACGTTTTGACCAAAAACCTTTGAATGGTTTTGGTCAATTTTTTTATTTTGAAAATTCGATACAAATCTCAATACTTATTGATTATGTTGATTTATTGCATATATCGAGAAATTCATAAAAATAAAACACCAATTGATAATACAATTCATCATAGTAAACTACTGCAAAATTGGATAACATAAAAAATATATGAAAAGTTGAATAGAAATTGAACGGTTAATTTGAAATTGCTTAGAAATAAAAGTAAAATTAATTTGAAATGAAATAGAAGTAGAGTTGTTGATAAGATTAGAATTGAAGAAGATTAGAATTAAGTTTAATAGAATTTGAACAAAAAATTAGAAGTAAGAAGTAAAAAGTAATATTAGAATTCGAGACAAATTTAGAAGAAAAAAAGATTTCTTACTCTTCAGTAGTGAAGAGCCTAGAAATTAGAATAAGGTATAAATAAGTAACAGATAGTATGAAATGTATTTGCAAGATAATGTAGAATATAGAAAGATAGTATAAAATATAAAAAATGAAATAAAGGTGGCTAAATGCTCGAAGTAATCGAGGCCAATAAGTTAAAAAAAGCTCCAAAATTCTAACTCTATTTCGCTGATTAAAAAACTAAATTACACAATCCATATTTGTTTTACCGAATAATTCATTTTCATTACATAATCCATAAAACTTGACAAAACTCGAGTAAAAAATGTATGTAAAAAACGAGTTAAACACATCTTCTGTTCAGAACCGTTATCCAAACAACTTCCAACGACCGGCTTGAACACCGAATGACAGATTTTTTTTCATAAAATTAATTTCCAAGATTGAAAAGTAAAGATTAATTGGTAAAGAGTCAATAGTTAAAAGTCGTTTTAACGGTTTTCATTAATAAAGCGTTAATTGAAACATTTAGGCAACTTTATCTGTTAGAAAAGGTGCACGAGAATGTAGTAAAAGTACAATCATAGGTTTTACGGAATTACTTTCGATTTTGTTAATGAAATAAAAATAATAAGTAATGATTGACTACATCAATTAAAGAAATTATAGCAAAGATATAAATGAAAATATGTACAACAATTCATTATATCAGAATCCTCACTCAGAATCAGAAGCAAACCGTTCTTTAGTTGGCATCAAAACTCCGGTGTAAAATACATTTATCAATGCTTTCTAATTAGATAAATCAGCGTATTATTTTTTATTAATTTAATTTTTATTTTCATTTCAGAATACATGGAGCCAGACCGATTGCACAAACGATATACAAGAGCAATAAAAACTAAAAGATCAGCACCATATATTATATATCCAGAAATTTTGGTTATAGTCGACTATGATGGATATAGATTACATGGAGGTGACAATCTACAGGTGAAAATTTGTAATCATTTATATTACAAAATTGGCGAATGTGATTTTTAACCAATTAGTTGTTGCATTTTGGAATATCCAAGCGAAAGTTGGTACAAATTACCAATAATCTCAATTACTTAATAACATTATCGCGTTTTGTTTTTAGTTTTGTAATAATCACTAATTTACATAACGAACTTTCCATAACCAATATATAATTTGCCAATATTATTTTTAATTGATCATTATTTTGGGTTCTTATTTTTAGGTGAAAAGGTACTTCGTATCATTTTGGAATGGAGTTGATTTGAGGTACAGATTATTGAAAGGACCACGTGTACGAATAAGCATTGCTGGAATTATTATATCAAGAGTAAGTAAATTCTTTAAATAATTCAGTCTATACTATAACAATTTATAAATGCATACTATTTTTATTTACATACATCTGAGGTATCTGAATATTTCAAATTTCATTATATGATGATTACAATGAAATTTTATACTTGATGAGACACTATCAAGGAATTGAAGAAATTTGAAAACAATATTTGATTTATATTTAAATATTATAATGTGATGAGCCAATATTATCTGCAGAATTTATTAAACAAAATGAGTCAATATTATCGGCAGAATTTACTAAACAACAAACCTAACGACCAAGATGTTATAAATATATAACAAGACCCCCAAAAATCAATTTTCAGAAAAATTATATTAAAATTTGATATAACTTAATGCTAAAAATACGGTTGTAATGCAAGCCTTCAGCAAAAAAAAAATAAGTACTTTATATAAAAAATATTTCGTAACAAACGGAAGATTAAACAATTATATAGCTACTCACAAAGGTGCAAAAAATATATAAAGGAAAAATGATAGAGTCAAAATTACATGATAATAAAAAAAACAGAAGAACGAATTAAAGTAACATAATTTTCCGGAGGGATTGTGCAAAAATTGACCCAAGTATATGAATTTTTCATTACCATAAAATGAATGCAACCTAAAAAAGTAGGTTGATTTTCAATTAAAACACGCACTATATACACAATTTCCATATAATCACAGCGATCCATAAGTTATAATAACAAAATCATCAAAATCGATCCCCATGGTCAATTAATTACCTGAATTTTATCTTCTATTTTTCCTCAAAGTTTTAATTTAAATCAACAATTAACGACCACATAAAATAAATATTTTTACAGGCAAGTTTTTAGATTGACACTTGAAATAAATCACAAAATTTCTAGTTTAGCAAACGACTACTTCTATCGATATATCAACACGACACGTGTTTATTCTAACAGTACTTTTTTATTACAGACGATAATAAACTTTTATATATAAATATTTTCATTTCAATTTGCGTAGGCGATGGAGCTGATTCACATATCGGTATTGTTTAATAAAATAAAATGAAAGTAAATTCGAAGATTCATAATATTATTACCACTTGAGAAAAATTGAACTATCAGAAAGTATGATCAACATACAGATTTTCTATTGATAATTCAAAACAAAGGCAATTTTCTTTTATGGAATTTATTATAAATATATAAATGTATTTTGACTTCAAAATAATACAATATCAATATTACAACCTCTATAAAAACTCATATTGAATTTTTTAATAAATAACCCTATTGTAACTATGTAAATAAAGTTCCAAAATTTTCTGCAAGTACCCTTAAAAAATTAATATCTTCTTTCAAAAACTAGAGATGTATTCTGGAAACATCAGTATGAAATTTGATGAATTTTTTGATAAATTTTAATGAAAACTTGTTTGTATAAGACTATCCATAAAAAATATAATCTGCTTTTAAAGGCTAGTGATGTGTTCTGAAAACATCAGTGCGAAATTTGATGTTTTTTTTGTAAATTTTAATGAAAACTTGTATGTATAATACTATCCGTAAAAAAATATCTTCTTCCAATGACTAGTGATGTGTTCTGCAAATATTTGTGTAAAATTTGATGAAAAATCCTTGTAAATTCAATGTAAAAATGTATGTATAATATGAGAATGTTCGTTAAATTCTAGTGAGCATTTTGAGGCATTCGTCCTATTTTCCTAATTTTTGCAGATAAAGTTATTTTATTTAGCGCTCAATTTAAATCCAACGCTTTCGTCAGTCTCTATTCCAATTTCCTCATAAAGTTTTTTTCGACTATGAGGATAACTTTCAAGAATTGCATCCAAAATATCGGTGCACATACGTTTTCTCTTCCTATATAAAGAAACAGCAGCTTCATGATCTTTCATTGTACTCTCTCGCATACCATCAGGAATCTAGAAATTATAGATTCTCATTATATAATAATTAACAAGAATATTATTTTAATTACTTGAACAGTATTTTCTTCGAGGTTTTGTAATTTCGTTCTTAAATTAATGACTGTAGTCTTGAGTCTTTCTAATTCTTCAGTAGCTTGTTCGTCTGTTAAAGAATTTTGCAAAGATTTGACCTCAGATTCGATAGCTTTTATTTGCTCTTGGCGTTCTGTAATTGACTGAGTGAGTTCTGCACAACGTTGGTCCAGAATTTGAAGTTCAGTCTCAAGCTAAAAAGTTGGTCAATTAGGATATTTTTCAAAGTACTGCATGATGATGAAGCAAAACACATATTACACCCACTATATATTTGATAAAACAAGGAACAATTTAAATAATGTAAAAAAAAATTGAATAATTAGAAGTATCTACTTGGTGTTTTTTATTCTGAAATTGATAAGAAAGTGAGGGAGATTTATGGAACCACAAAATAAGGATTCCTAATTTTTACGAATTTAATCCAAAAATAATTTAATAAATAATTATAAATTGGTAACAAATTCTTGATAAGTGAATAAGTAAATATTTTCTTCCCAGTACCTGCTCCTGAACTTGGTCATCTTCTTGTAATGCACAATAAACCTTTTGCTTCCCATAAACTTTTTCCTTAATTTTTTCTTTGGAAACCAATGCATCCAATGCTCGCAAAATTTCTGTTTTTCCAAATTTTTTATGAAGATTTTGGGTAATATCATTGGCAGAATAAGGTCTATTTGTATCAACGAGATACTTGAGAACGGCTTCAGCTGCCATCTTTGGATATATGAAGATCATGAACTTTTTTGAAATATAACTTTAAAAATCATATTTATTGTTACTTAATTAATATGCTTACCTTTACAGCATATTAAAATTTTAAACATTATATGTATCACATAAACTCCATAAAATAACTTTCTTTAAATTTTTTTAGGTTTAGAAAAAATGTTTTAATGTTAATGTTTCAGCATAGTTGTAAGAATATTCATAATGAACTGTTCGCCTTTCGATTACTCAAAACCACGAAATTAAATAATCTTTTTTATAACACATGAATATTAATGATTTCTAAGAAACTAAAACCTAGTCTGTCACAAATGCGCAATTAAAATGTTCGATTTTATATTCCGTAATATAAAATCTTATGAATTTGCACATGTATACACATATGCTAATTGCTTTATGTTGAATATTTAAAAATAGAGACTTGGATAAAGTTAAAAAAATGCTTTGGGTAAAATTTAAAAATATCATCTAAGTAAAATTCAATGTAGAAATAATTTTCATGGCAATTTGGAAATTACTTCAGAATTATTCTCATTTTCTTGCATCAACAAAAACTTTTCCAAAATATGCCATAAAATTCACGAAATGATCTAAATAAGATTTAAAAATATATAATAGCTTCGTAATATATTATACATTACTCGTTTTACAGTGAAAGGCTATAAGATTCGCTTTTATAAAATAACCTATGTACCTATTCATCAAAAAATTTACATAAATAAGTAAATAAATTATTGCAATAAAAAATTGTACAACCTTTTTCGTTCACAGAATATATTTTTGAATCCATTACCGATTTTTATATTCATATTAATATTTAAAAAAAAATTGGAATTCGTGCTTAATTTAGATCCATTTCGAAAGATTGCTCATAATTTCTATTTAATTTAATTAAAAATGGTAAGTGCTAATGAATTTAACTTATAAAAGTCACATTGAATACGCAAAATAAAATATTGTTTAGTAAGCAATAATGAATATTAGCAATGAGTTTTATCAACGCATATTATACAAAATAATTCTCATGACATGAAAATGAAAATGAAAAATGCCACCTACCTTGAAATTTATCTTCGTTCACAAGTCTTGAACTGGTAGCAGAAAAAAAACAGGACCAGAAGTGCAGGAATCTCGAACCTCCAAATTGACTTCTCGTACCCCAAAATTGTATGTACGACTGTGAAAATGAGTTAGGTCAGAAATATCCCTACACGATTACACCAGTCTCCTCTAGGCACACAATGAATCTCAAAACTTGGTGTCCTGTTTATCTGCAATTTTAAACTTATTGTAGGTATACCATTGCCCCTTTTTTGAAATGATTCCCAATTTAGGAAAAGGAATATAAAAATGATAATAAATGAATGATAAGACGCAATATATAGAAAAAAATCCATAAAAACAAATGATAAAACATAAGAGTATAGGATAGATATAAATGATATATAACTTGTATCTAAAAGCAAACGTAATCAAATTTCATTCATTCATTTTCCACCATTAAACAAAAATATGGTAAAAAATTAAAAAGTGTGACAAATTAGATTTTGAATCAAAAATGGAAGTTTTAATGTGCGATGCAATTTGCAGTCACAATACATGTCGCTATAAATAAATAATTGTCTGAAAATTTATTTATCTATAAAGATAACCAACTAAATTTCTTTTTCCCCAGGGTCGAGATGCAACCCCATATTTGGAAAGAAACCGGGTTGGACGCGATGCGATAGATTCGGCGGCCGCGCTTACTGATATGGGTAAATATTTATTCAGAGAAAGAAGACTGCCAGTGTATGATATTGCTGTAGCAATCACAAAGTAAGTTAAATTCAGAATAAATTCAAAATTATTTATTAATCTATAAAATACAGGAAAATCCACTTCATTTATTGATAGGATGCCGAGACATTGTAAGTGAAAATCAATCGTAATTAAGTAATTATTACACAAAAAAGAGATACCAATGATAAACTGTATTTTGGTCTTAACATTACATATTGTCATTCATAATTACTAGATTTTTTATATTTTAAAAACAGATAATAATTGCATCTTGAAAAATCAAAAAAAAAATAATAATAAGCATTTAAGTTTTTTCAAGAACAGATTTGAGCTTTATTGTTATGCAAGTTTTGTTGTGAAAATGAAATATCAAGTTTACCCAAAATCAATACATTGTGTATGTTCAAGAGCAATTATTTGATTTTTTTGCTAATTAAAAATATTATATTTAAATTTCACTGTTAAAAATACTATTATTGGTGACCCCAATATTATTACATGCCCCAATGAAATTATTATTATATTACAGGTGACCCCAATAAGATTATTATACACGTGTATAATGTATAAACAAATTTTTAGATTTACTCTTCATGTTCTATTATGTTTTACTTTATCGCTCTTTTTGAGAAGAAATTGTCAAAATTTTATAATAATTTTGAAATAATATTTTCATTGATTTAATTTACTTTAAAAAAGTCAAATTGATAAATGGTCAAAATATCATAACACAATTAAAAAAAAATCAATTGAAAATTGAATATTAAATTTTTATTGAATGTCTTATTACCATCGAAACTTTTTTACTCAAGACATTGAATTTTCATTATGATTGTTAAAAAAAAACTATTTTATATTTCTGATTTCCTTAACTTTTCCGAATTACAGGAATTAATATGAGCTTTTTCTAGGTACGACATGTGTAGGAGACGAAAAGGAGGCAGATGCACCAAAGGCACAGCCGGTAAACATTACTCCGTGCTGATTATTTAATACCCATAATTTTTATCAAATATCAAATTCAAAAAAATACACATTGATATTTATATACTGATAATGTTTTGAAATACTATATACGGTTTGCTATTTTATATTTTGACTTGATCGATGTGTATTATTTGAATTTGATACATGTAAGATGCTTTATGTACATAAACAGCAAATGAAAAACAGGAGTATTAACCAGGATTTGAGACACAAAAGATTTTGCATATAAAATAAAATTGTTAATAAAATTATTTTATATGCAATGCAAAATGTGCAAACAAGCTTTGACAAATTATGTTAAAATAATATCCCGGTTTTTGGTTTAACATACCACTAAGATATTTTTAATTATAGGACATGGCAGGTCAGAGGACTGGGTCACCACATTTTAACCGCCACAAATTTATGACACAAACCCACAAAATGACAAACATTACAGAAATCTGTATATGAACCGCGCACAAAAGACTTACTCACTCTAGCCCTATTTTCCAAAAAATATTTCCCAAAACCTACCGACTAAATTATTTTTAAAAAATTGCTAAAACATGTAATTCCAGGCTCGATATGTGCAGACGACAATACGCAAATGATGCTTGCAATAGAGGCACCGCAGGTAAAATGTCCAAAAAAATTTTGGAAAATTTAAGAAAAAAACTTTAAACACTATCGCACTTGCAATTGGCACTTTTGTTTTGGTTGTTCCATGTTTTCACACTCTCCCGGCAGTATGGATTCTGAGCACTTCAAAATTCAAATTTGAATCTATTTTTCACACTAAATTTCACTTGGGCAACACATTTATTTTTTAACACACACCTTTAATGTTTTTTTCTTCAAAAATTTTTAACACATAAATTATGTAAATTACCAGAAAACACAATGTTCAGTGTACAACCATTTGTTAAATGTTGAAATCTTTGATTATTTATTGTTAACCTTATATATATACATATAAAAGTCAGTAATAAATATTCAATTCAAACTAATCCAAAACCGTATTTAACAATAAAGTTAATTTTATCTTGTGCTCACATGAACAAATAAAATTCTTAATTTCTTTTCTATGTATGTAAAATTAACTAATGTGTATAATTTTGTGTTATAAAATATTCAAATTAGATTATATAATAATCATTTAGTGATCGTATTAAAGCTCGTTTGAGGAAAAAAACAGAATGCGTAAAATTGTGGATCATTTCAGGTAATAAAATGCAAATTATATTAATAAATACTAAATGCGTGCGTAAAAAGTTATAAAAAAAACAATCGTAATAAAAAATATTTTGAATACTCGCGCAGTGTTGCCCGAATTTATGTATTTTCAATCATTTTCTGTAGTTTCATATATACTTCAATTTTAGAAACTTCGACTGTCTAAAACTGCTTCTATAAAAATGATAAATGAGACCTAACTTTTGATAATATACTCAGAAGATCTTCAAAGTAAGATTTCAACATTTTTGCTAACTAGAATTAACTAAGAAAATTTTCATTTGTAGAAACTGAAACCAAAGTATAGTATTTATTAAGTATCAAAATTGTTTATAAGTTGAGAAATGATGTTAAGCTATCATAAAATGTTTAGTCTCATTTTATCAATCAAAATTAAATAATTTTCAAAATCTACCTATACCTATTATTCGAAACCTTCTTCGCTAAAATAATTACAAAAATTATTGTAATACTTTTTAATACTCTTTTAATTTCCCATTATTTCTTCTCTACATTTTACACTTCAAAAATCAGATCACTTTCTGTATTCTACACAAAATCACACTCTTCAGACTATACAAATTAAATCAACTAATATAATAACAAATGTCAACTTGGGAAATTTTTTTGGATATTTTAAATAAATACATTAACTAAAAAAATTATTAAGGTATGTAAAAAAATTAGTTTTTGAAATAATTTGAAAATAATAGTTTTTTGTATTTATTTTTGGTTCTCAGACAGTTGACTTTTGTTATAAACTGATTAATAAAACATTTCCAGCTTGAATAAATTTAATTTTATAGAATAACTTTACTTACTTAATTTTATAAAATAAAGTTATTTGATCCCGTATAATTCTCGTCCGACTTAAAAATAATCTTCAAAGGTGATGGTAATAAATAATCAATTATTATTATTAAAGCATGAATATTTGGTAATAATTGGCTATGTTTTAGTTATATTGAATCTATATGGGATTAATGGTGAGTAGTTTAATTTATTAATTGAATCTTGTGCTAAAACTTTAATCATTAATCAAAAAATTCTAGAAAAATTATATAATTTATATATTAGACTTCTATCTAAAAATATATTCTCAGCAAAAGTTGCATTAGTAATATAATTAAGATAGTTATATATTTTCTTGCTAAGATAATTTCTTAGAGTATTATTCTATATATAATAGCCCTGAATTTTCAGTAATTCTGTTCTTTCAAAAATTTTATCGTTATTAATACTCAAAAATATTTATGCTAAAATACTGCATTTTCTTCAATGAGCATTCTCTATTCAAAATCCTGCATTCTCTATTTTCTTACAGAGTTATTTATTATAACATTATTTATTTATCAAAACAGGTTTCTGCTAACAACATTTAGAATTTACAACGTTTATGCTAACAAAACTGTTAATGCTAACATGATTTATAGGTGGTTGATGGTGTATTATGGTGCTGGTTACCAGATAATTTTTTCAAAAATATAATTACTGGCCAATATAAATAAAAAGCATTATGATAATTAATCTTATCACAACTTTCTCTCAGGATTTGCGTACGTGGGCGGAGCATGTGTGGTCAATAAGAGACTCGAAAAGGTCAATTCTGTCGCCATCATCGAAGACACTGGCGGTTTCAGTGGAATTATTGTCGCCGCTCATGAAGTTGGACATTTGTAAGAAATAGAATTAAATTTATAAAACGAAATGCTATTTTGTAGAAAAAATATTATATTGTTCATCCATGCAGGACCATACTAGACAATTTTTTAATAAATTTCGTTCTTATGGGATTTCAAATAAGTCGGTCCAATCGATTATCTCTATTGGAAAATTATTTCTTTTTATTCATTTCTCCAAATTTAAAAATATTAACAAAAATATATCTTATGAAATCTACCAAAATGATTAAAAGAAAAGGTAAAAAAAATAAATGATAAAAAAATCCCACAAAATGTGTCAGAATTACAAAATAAGAAGCCTAACATCATGTAGATGTAATTAAATTTACATAATTAAGAGGGTATCCTAGTGTAGAAATTAAAAAAATCGATTTTTTTTTATTTCATATTTTCAAAGTTTAACTATCTAAGAATATGGGTACGAGAAGGTTTTTAAAATTTGAGTTATTTTCGGAGATATAGACATTTTACTGACTCGGTCTCCATACTGGTTTAGCTTCACGCAAAACTTTAAATGCGTTTTTCTCAGAAGACTTTTTCAGTACTGTTGACATGATTTTTCGAGTTTTAATCGACCGATTCATTTTAAATGTTCAGAGAGTCTTGTTTATAGACCTATCTATAGCCCGAATTAGGATTATCCCCAAATTCCAATTTTTGCTATTTTTAAAAAGTTCGAGAAACTCAAAAAAACAGTAAAAAAACAGTTTTTTTTTCAAACAGTCGCCAATTTGTAAAAAAATGTTTTTTGCTCATCGCTAGTTCGGGCGATTGCGACTTCATTGTAGATTAATAATATTTTTATCTTTTGCATTTCCGATGGCTAGGAGGGCTGAAATCATGTCAAGAATGAGGTGCCAATTTTTTGAGACCACCCACTTCATCAGCTGGCAGTTTTTACAATTTTCAACTTTTTTATTTTTTTATTTTTGTTTTGTATTTTAATAATATTATTAAACAAGTGGTAAAAAAATGGATAGTAAAAACATTCATTGCTTTCTTTTACGACACTTTAAAAATGACCTAAAATTCATCGCTCTACACTAGAATACCCCCTTAAATAAAGCAAATCCAAAAATATTATATTATTCCTAAAATTGATGATTTTAATAGTTTGGACAAAACTGATTTTATTTTTGAATTTTCTAGAAAATTAATTAAAAATAATGTGTATATTATAAAACAATCAACAGAGGAAAATAGATGCTATGAAATATATTAAGGGAGTATTCTGGTCTAGAGGCATGAATTTTCTGCGTTTTTTGAAAGGCCGTAAAAAAGCAAACAATATTTTGACTAAATTATTTCACAAATTATCAATTAATGTTTTGAGAAATTTTTGACTGTTTGAAAAAAAAGTTTTTTTCTTAACTTTTTTGACGTTGTAGAATTTTTCAAAAAGAGTAAATATCGGAATTTAGGGATGAGAGTGGTTCAAACTGAAGAAAAGTCTTCAAAGAGGAATCTGTAAAAATTCAAAGTAAATCGGTCCGGCAGAAGACGGGAAATCGTGGGTATTGTTTAGAAAAAGACAGTTGCCATAAAAAAGCGTTTGAAGTTATGCGAAGGAAGGAAACAAAGGAGCGTTATCGTGGTCAAATACTTATATATCCAAATCTAGTTTGAATTTTGAAAAATTCCTTGCTATTCTTAAATAGTTAAACTTTGAAAATATAAAAAATAGACCAAATAGTTTTTTTGAAAATTCTATACCAGAATATCCTCAAATGCACTATAGAAAAAAAACGACTTGTTCATAAAATATAGATCAATTTTACCAAATTTACCAAATCTAGTCACAATCTTCCGATTATAAAACAAAGTAATCAAATTCGATCTAAAGTATTTTTTATCTCTTCATTAAGATTGGGAGCCGTGCACGACGGCTCTCCGCCGCCAAGTTATCTGGGAGGTCCAGGCGCCGAGAAATGCCGATGGGAAGACGGTTACATAATGTCCGACTTGCGTCACACGGAACGAGGTTTCCGATGGTCGCCTTGCAGCGTCCAAAGTTTCCATCATTTCCTCAAGTCAGTAACACTATTAATAAAATATACTATAATTCTGTAATAGACCAACAAATATAAAATGAATCTTTTCCCCAGTGGGGATACTGCTTCATGTCTACACAACCCGCCACATGAAGACGAAGCTTTGGCCCGAGCTTTGCCGGGAACTTTGCTGAGTTTGGACGCGCAATGTAGACGTGATAGGGGCACTAGTGCGTGCTTCAAGGATGAGAGGGTGTGCTCCCAATTATTCTGCTTCGATGCAGCGAGTGGGTACTGCGTGGCCTATAGGCCTGCTGCAGAAGGGTCACCATGTGGAGATGGACAGGTGAGGGAAGACGACTGATAAAATTACTTAATTAATATTAATTTAGAAAATGAAAATTTTTACATTTCTCGACGTTTTGAAGGTTTCTGAACATTTTGGCATACTTTAGAAAAAACGGATGTATGTGTATGTGTGTGTGTGTGTGCTTGTATGTATGTGTGTGCGGATACAAATTTTCGTCGACGATTTCGGGAACACGGATGAAGCAATTTGAATAATTCAAAAAACATTCGATTCGTATTGTTAAGGAGTCGTGCTGATTAGTTTTTAGCGGAGGCAGGTCTAGTCGTTCCGAAGATATGGGACAAAAAGTGCCAAAAACGGTACCTCAGTTTTTAAGAGAACGGAGCGTCCGATTTGAATAACTCAAAAAACATGTTACTTGTAGTGACAAGATGAAGAATTTATTTTCATGAAGGCAGGTCTAGCGGTTTCGGAGATCTGACAAAAAAAGTAAAAAAAAATGCCATTTGACGGTCAAAAATGATCATTAGACATATGCACATCAAATTATCAGATATTTTATAGAGATTTTAACAATAAGTATAAATTTTGTTTACATTCCTATGGGTTCCGTACCAATGTTTATCCGTTAGACAGCGACGCGGCTTTATTTTGTCTCTATGCAGTTAAAGCAGTACGATGGCTTTGAAAGAAAGTTCAGATCTTCCAAAATATGTCAAAATAAAGAAAACAGTTTTTTATTCAAAAAAAAAATATTTTTTTTAATTTTTTTTGTTCAAAAAAAAGTAATTTTTTGTCCAATTTATAGTTTCTCTAAAATCTTATGTTTTCGAAGTAAAATTTTTTCAAAAATGCTAATCGTTTTTATAAAAATAATAATTTTTGGTACGGGAAGTTCCAGCAATTTGCCTTAAGGCACGATGCTTTAATTGCCTTAAGACAGAATTCCACTTACAGCTAATTTTATTACTTTTATTATATGTACTTGTTAAGAATAAAATTGACAAAGGGCTTACTTTTGAATAAACAATATTTTATATTTTCTATATAGCACTGTCTGGATGGTCGCTGTGTAGCAGAACACGAAAATATAATTCCTGATTATTCTCAGCACACACCAAGTTATATAAGACCACAGACGAGTCAGTTTAGGTAAGATACAAATAATTCATTTAAAAAACACCGATGAGATGGATAAACAAAATAAAAGATTCGAAATTATTTTATCTCTGATTTAATCCAAAAGTCTAGAATTGTTATCAAGTTCCTGGTATATTTTTAATCGTTTAGGTACACTACAGAAGCTTATCAACCACAAAACACGAACCCGCCACAAACAACAAGGAATTATGCGTCCTATTATACAAGCACCGAAAGACCAACCACACAAAATCCTTATGCCTACTTCCAAAATCAATACAGTCCCACAACTACCAGACAACCACCCGTTATCAATTTCCATTATTACAGTCAGAATCCTCACAGTTCCAGACAACCTTTTTATCAATACTCAACTACGAGAAATCCATATGATTTCCATGATTTTGGTCAGCCACAATCTCAGAGGGCGCCGATAGAGCAATCTAGGAACCAAGCATATGAAAATTATTTGAAGAGATTGTCGCAATCAACGACGAGGAATCCTTATAATTTTGACAATTTCGGGAAATCTTACACGAAATCTACGCCTAGTCCTCAACAATTGGGAGGGCAACATGGAAATTATTTGAAGCGGTCTTATGACACGCACTTCTACTGGGACCCGAGCGAAACTAATCAAAGAAATGCTACAAGACTTCTGATAGATAAATAGATGTAATTTTAACAAATTTGTGCAAACGCTGGCATCAAATTATAAAAAAAAAACTTATAAAATCAATTTTAAAACCTGAATATATTAGGCTAAGACTATCCGTACCAAAATATTTTAGCTGGTAAATTTTTTGACTGAAAAATAATCAAGAAAATTCTAATTTCATTCATGAACAGTTTATAAATGAATATCGTACTTAAGACTTTAATTATTATTTAATCAAAAATATTTATATTATTTTTTTGAGTCTAGATGTAAGTCTAATTTAACTTAATTTTTTTTTAATTATTTAAGTGACTATTTAATTTTATTTCAAAATCCAACGAATGCACAAATTTTGCTAAGAATCTTAAGAAGGAAAGATGTTTCGCTACCACGGGCTACCATATGTAGTGCGGTAAGAGAAAATTCAATAATAAAAGCATAAACTTTATACTATTCACAAAGAACTATGTGTATCTTCATTTTCAAAATTTCTTGTTCTGGACCGCACCTTCACTATCAACTATACGATCCTTTCGCCTAATTCTACAAGTATCTGCAAAGTCTACTCCTCTTCACTATCTTAATTAATAAAAATTCTCTCATTGCTAGCTAATATTAAATTGCTTGATATGTATGATGTAAATACATAGCACAGAAAGCAAATATTATGTAACTTTGATTACATAAAATGATCTATATCACTGTCTTAAGCAGAAAAACTAAATTTATATATTCTAGTTCATCAACTTCCGTACACGCATGACAAATAGGAGAAAGCATCAACAGTCTCTACTTCTGTACTAAACTAAAACACTTAACACAAAACCACAAAATGAAACTCTATCCTAAACCTATCACTTGATTTATACATTATCTCTAATTCAAATGAAAGGCATATCCAGGAAGCTCAAAAATACTAACTGATCAGTTGTACATCTTTGAAACAAAATTTACTTGATCCTGGACTAATAATGCCATTCTATTCATATATACATATATAAATTCTCACTAATAAATATTTCTTTCAGATGTCTCACTGCCATAATTTTTTTCAGGCTAGTTTCATGAATAACATATTCTGTGTCAGTAAAATTTAAAAAATCTTTATTTCTTTGAAACCAAGATTTTAGTAGTACAGTAATTAATATTGTAGCAGAAACGTAATTCATTTAATATTTTAAATTTTGTGATAATTTTTCTAACACAAGTTAATATAATTTAAAATTCTGAATTCGCTATGTATTTCTTATTTATTCTACTTCGTAGTTAAATAATTTCACATCATTTTCGTAGTTCAGTCTATAATCAAAAATATTTTATCTTGAAAATATATTTAGCATATATATAATCTACTAATTCATATTTTTTATTTTACAGCGGGAAGTAAAACACAAAATGGAACTGACATTATTAAATTTTCTGCAGTAATTAATATTTCAAGATTGAGTGAAATCTGAAGAACATTAATTTAATCAAATTAAATGTACTTATAATGAGTTAAAAAAATATTTATCAATGTCACGATATGTAAAATTTAATCTACTTTAGTTCCCAAATCGTGATCCCACCATCTTAACTAGAAGTAATGTATGATCGATATCTTAATTTATCTTAACTCATTTATTATTCGTCAATTAATTGTGTAAGATAAACACCTTCAAATGTTACGTAATGATATTGTCTTTTCAAAAAGTATTTAATACCATTTTCTAGATTTGTTTTGTTGAACATGTACGAGTATATTATGTATTTTTTATTCTTCTTTCAACTACATATAGTATTATTGTTTAATTTAAAATATTTTTATATTTGTTTTGATGAATTTGGTTAGATCCTGATAGTTAAATAAAATATAGAATCAACCCTTGAATAATATTCAAGTTTGTTAATGTATTTTTATTGATTCTGTATCTTAATCTCTCAAAAGTTGTGAATACCAATAGAATCATTAATTAAAGAAATTTTTGAAATTAAAATTAGTTATATATAGCATTGTATTATATATGTAAAATAGCTTGTATGAATTATTGAGTGACTGTAAATGTATCTGCGTGTGGAATTTGTGAAATAGATATTAATTAATATTTAGTATTAAATTGATGTAACAAGTTCCAATAATGATCTGGACAATATTTTAACTAAATTTACATGACGACTGTTGAATATAATTTAAATATTAATTTAACGATAAATATTATATTTTCAGAATATATATTAGTAGTAGATAAGGCAATAGTTTGATGAACTAATTTATATATGTAATTGCAATATTGTTTCATGAAATCAACTGTTATGGAGTTGTACAGATCATTTTGAAAATAACAATCATTTATTATCATATTAAAGTATCTATATATGATTTGTTTTAAAATTCAATTATTACTTTATTATAAAAATATGTAAATTGGTTCATGCAGAACATCAATTTATCTGTTTTTGTTAATATTAATCAATTGTGATTATGGTTTGCATAATTTATCAATTAAAGATAATAAACATATATTTTCTGAAAATTTAATAATAATATATTATACACTTTATTTACCATTTGACAAGTTCAAAAAAATACTCATTTAATAACTGCCCTTTAAAAATCAATTTGTTGAGCAATATGTTATGATTTTGCCAAATAAAAAATAATTGTAAATTGGTATAATAAAATGTGATAAGGTTAATGAAATATTAGGCAAGATTTGTTATAAGAACAAATTCTGTAAACATAGAATGTTTATCAGAATTATGATATTACCGAAAATATGTATAACATAAATAAATAAAATGAGAAATTTATTTTCTGCTGTATTATTTAAGGCAAATATAAATAAAAGCAAAATTATATTTGTATTTTGCTAATGTTTACTGTATGCAGTTACATATTTTCTTTAAAAAAAATACTTGATATTTTATGTGGATTTATATATTACACCATTCTACACTAGCAATACACTGGAAAATAAGTTTATATATTAATTTGTACATATACTTTACACCATTATATAAGATTATGAAAACAAATGCCTCATTTAATACTTTCAAGCATTAATAATTATTTTCCAATGACAGGCAATCTGGTGTGATGTTCCATTAAACCTCGCACCAGCATAGCACACGACATCAAGCAAATAACTCCACCAGGCATTAATTTGTTCATATTTCCTTGCCACCTGGCACCCATCATAACGGCTAATGCAAAAGTTGTTCCTAGTTGCAATAATGGTTTGGGTGGAGATCCAGAACTCAAATAGGCTCCGTACCCTAAAACATTGATGAGTCATATCAAATGAATCTGAATGAATATCGCAAATCGCAATAATCACTAGATCTAGTTACAAATATATGTATACATACCTAACAGTGATCCAAATAATAATCCAGCACCAAGTGATGGGACAGATCCTAGTGGGTAAAGACGAATGCAATTGTTATTGTGTATACAAATGAAAGAAAAACTATTTTATATATTTCATAAAACATACCTCTACTAACGTATCCCATCACACCACCAGCGGCAACTGTGGCTGCATATGCATAGCCAATTAAATCAGCAGGCATTTTGTTTAATTTTGCACTAAAAACTTCAAGTAATCACTATTCAATAATTGTCTTCTCTAAGTCTAAAGCTTAATATATATAGTTAAAACGTTTAGAATCGCGGTGATCCGAGTGTTTTTGAATGTTGCGCAATATCTAATGCATACATTGTTCAATGCGTACATATACAGAATAAAAATTTATATTGGAGATGCTATAACCTTATCACATATCAAACATAATAAAAAATAGTTCAGAAATAATTTCCATAGATTGTTACATACCTGGATAATCTCCGCAGATGATGTCAGCTCCGTTTATAATACACAAAAGCACAATTATTATGGGACTTATATCGTGGGAATTAATTATATTATTAAAATTCACTACGTTAAGAATAATTAGATTATTACTTTGCACAAATGAACAGCATGCTCAAAATGTCAAATTGGATGAACTAAACTCAGTTACGAACCATCAAGCACCAGTGCCAACATAAGGTACGAAACAATTACGAAGAGAGCGCGATTTTCAAACTTCAAACTTAACATCATCGATCTCATCACCATCAAAGATTTCAGCATTTGGAAATCAGCATTAATGCATACTTCTATTAATATATGTATCAGAACTTGTCTCATTATCTCGGAACTCAATTAGAAATTTATTTATAGTATCACTTATAGTGAATTCATTCATTTCATGTGATTCAACTACATTCACATGAAATTCTAATGGATTTACATGGTATTTTCTTAGATTTATATGTATATATATATATATATATATATATATATATATACACATTTAATTTTTTCATATCATCCCCAAGTGACCTTGACTCATGATGGTCAGTCGTCGAAGAATGTCCTTCCAGTGTTAGCAGGCGGAAACTCTTCGTCGCCGTGGCCGCAACGGTTAGAGCGCTAAACTAGACTCTAATCAGAAGGAGGCTGGTTCGAACCCGAAGGGTGCATTTGGGGTTTTTTATTTGGCAAGTTAAATGGCGAGGGAGGTATGTGAAGATATTGTTAAGACATGTACCAAAATCAATCAAATGTTGGCAGCGACGGGGTGGGTGAGGTCGTTAAATGGCTTCGGTCGCAGTGGCGATTGTTCTCGTTTTTGGATTTCGAGTTCGAATCTCAAAGGAAATTTATTAAGTATATTAGTTTAGTTTTTCAATAAATTTTAAATAAACATTTAAATATTGCTTGAAATATATAAATAATAGTTATAAATTATAAAAATTATAGAATTTGACACTTTTTAATTCAAAGTATTAGTATTCCTTAGTAATTAGGCAAGATAAATAATTAAAAATTGATAAAAAAATTAAGGATAGTGTTGGTCAATATCTTAGTCAATTACTAAAGAATTAACAACTATATCTACATGAATCATTATATATGACCTAGTCACCTTGATTTGTATGGGAAATAAATATATAAATGTATATATTGCTTTTACCATCATTATATATGAGCTAGCTGCCTTATTATGTATGAAAATTTGATATATATATATATATATATATATATATATGATATTTCTTCTAAGCCTGAATCTACTAAGATTCCAGGGCGATTGATTGTAAATATTGATATTCCTTCAAAACCGTGACCATAATTATATTTATAATAGCGTATAAAGCGATATATAAATGTATATATTGATATTTCTCCTAAGCCAGGACCATCATTATATTTAAAAGAGTATAAAGGAATCCAGTAAGATTTCTAGATTCATAGAGGCGATTGCATGCAGCGCCTCTATGCAGAATCGTTCCCACTTTGGGAGGAACTAACGTCAAACGTTTGACAGTTCTTGCGTGAATAGGAATCCAATAAGATTTCTGAGCTCCTACGGTGATTGCTTGCAGCGCCTCTATGCAAAATTGTTCCCAGTTCGTGAGTAACTAACGTCAAGTTGAATCCACGGATAGGAAGAGCCGACATCGAAAGATCAAAAAAAAGGAATCTTATTGGATTCCTTTATACGCTTTTATATGAATTCAACTTGATGTTAGTTCCTCACGAACTGGGAACAATTTTGCATAGAGGCGCTGCAAGCAATCCCTTCTATGAATCTAGAAATCTTATTGGAACAAATTAATTTAAAAAATTATTAATAAACGATTTTTGAATAAATTAATGAGTATCATATAAAATAAAATTGATGGATCTTTATGTATGATTATAATTAAGTAAATAAAATTAATTATAGAACTACTAATTATAGTTTTCCAAATTATTTATGGTTATTAATTATTGTTTGCCAAAAGCAACCTGAAAAATTCTATAAATTACACGTTATATGTTTAAAAATAATCAAATTAAATTACTTAAATATGTATTTATATAATTACAAAGTATTACAAATATACTCATATGTAATTAGCAAAATCATAATGTTTTAAATATTTAATGATAATAATATAATAATTATATACATTCATATATCTAATTTCATTATTACTACACGAAGTTTTTAAGTCTAATAATGTACAATTCAATATATATATTTATATATCCAATTCCCATACAAACTAGGACAGCTAGTATATATAAACATGTATAAATCAATATATACATGTATATATCCAATTCCCATACAAACTAGGCCAGCTAGTATATATATAATCATGTATAAATCAATATATACATTTATATATCCATTTCTCAAACAAACTTAGGCAGCTAGGCCATATATAATCATGTATAAATCAATATATACATGTATGTATCCAATTCTCATACAAACTAGGCCAGCTAGTATATATATAATCATGTATAAATCAATTGATTTATACATGATTATATATATATACTAGCTGGCCTAGTTTGTATGAGAATTGGATATATACATGTATATTATATTATATAGTATATTAATATATACATTTATATATCCAAGGTACAAGAACAACTTGCTTTCCACATTATAATATTCATGCTCAGATATTTTATCTTCCTTATTTGCCCTTCATCTGATAGATTTCACCAAATTGTTTTAAATTGATTTTATTAAGAGGTGTTTGTGTAAACAAAGTGTCCATGGGGTCTGTGAGAAACTGCAAGATATATAGTTATTAGTATTCCAAAATCATGCTGTCCATTGTAAGATTCAGAACTCGGGAATCAGGATTGTCTAGTATTCGCAGAAAATCTGGATAGCTACTACATCGCTCTACAGTCTCAGAATCTCCTGTAATACAACAAATTTAGCTTTAGTATTGAATAATAAAATGTAAATATTTAGTAATAAATAATAAATAATAAAATGTAGCATCATCAACAACATTATGAACTATATCATTAAATAAAACATATACAATATTGATGGCTATTAATCAAATATTTAAAATAAATGTTTGAAATTTACCTGACAAAATACGAAGAGATCACATCTATGTAAGCTCAACATTGAGTAATTTATTGCCATAATATTCATCAAATCTGAGTTCTATTTTGACCATTTATTCATTAATGTGCATTCATCATATCATTTCATATTTATTGATTAATTTGCATTCATTTACTTGAAATATTTATTTGTTAATATATTTCAATTGTCACCTGCGTGTTCTTTGGCAGTAAAAAGGTATAAATAAACATTATGATTTCCAAAACATTCCTACAAATTACAATATAATTATAAAAGTTACATTGGCTCAATCTTTCTGCCTGAAATGCATTTAACTATATTATTTTAAATATTAAATATAAGAAAATAAATAAAGAATAAAGTTTTCTTAATAACGCAAGAAGATATAGTTACAATCTGGTCTTTCATATTATATATATATATATGTTTATATAAAAAAGAAATCTTGCTTCCACAAGTTTGCCATGAATGTATTTAAAAGCTTGAAGGCTACTTTATTTATAATATAATTATTATTCTTCATTCTCGTATTATAATTCATATAAATAATTATATAGTTACCTATATTTATATTTGAAAAGAGTATCATTTGAAAATCAGACTTGGTCTATTCAAGGTAATGGTAACCTTTAATTAAAGTGTCACACTCGGTTTAAAAACATTCTTCCATTAATATATGTATCAGGACTTGTCTTACTTGCCTCATCGAAGTACAGAAATAAGTCTCTGTTACTAGAGTTTATATATTTGCAAGTGGAGTCCATAACACTATAAAATATAAATATATACTGTATACTTCTTTGTGAAACATATATATTTTATGCACTATCTTATTATTATATCTATTATATCTATTATTTAAAGCATATCAATAACAATTTTCAATAAATTGTAAATTAATTACAACTCAGTAGCATTTTTGCTTCAAAGTATTTGATGGAACAAAAAATTAATTTTCATTATAAAAAAGGATTGTAAGTATAAACCTGATTTACTAGAGAATTTATTTAGAGTTAGTTAGAGTGAACAATTCACTCGAAATACCAATATGTATGCTTGATATTTTCTTAGATTATCGCGAGCAAAATTTACTTTTGTACAAACTTCTGTTAAATAAAATATATAAATATCTTCTTACCTTTGAAATCAATTCATTTGTGATTTCATGTGATCACAACTGATGTTTAATATACTGGCATTACTAGTTTGATTTATCAATGGCATTTATCATGTCATTCTATTCTATTCACACATTTTCTTGGAATTACCTATAATAGAAATATTTGGGTTGTAATAATGAATAATGAAATGTTATATTACTGGCAAAATTAATTAAATAATAAAATATATCATATGAAGAAGTATCATCATACGAAAGTAATAGTCAAACCATTCTTATTTTTAGCAGTAAAGCTCCTATGAATTACTTTATTATTATAAAAAATTATATTAATTCAAATCATTCAGTATTAAATTACTTAAATGCTTGTAATTATACTATTTTAAATATTAAATATTTAAAGAATAAACTTATTTTTGTAATGTTAATTGAGTAAAATATTAAATATTTTACATTTGCTTTTTGTTTACGAAGTTACATCTATTTTCCTTTCTTAGTTGTGTGATTTATCTATTGTATTTGTAGGTATCATAAGAAAAAATACATGGTTACTATCTGGTCTTTCATCTGCATGTATGTAAAATGTTAACGTCTCCACAAGATTGTATAAATGTATTTAGATGCTTGAAGTTTTCTTCTCTTATAATATAATTCTTCATTCTCATTTTGTAGTACATGCACAAAATTATAGTTACCTATATTTATATTTTTAAAGACATCATCATTTGGAAATCAGCATAAATAATGCATACTTCTATTAATATATGTATCAGAACTTGTCTCTTTATCTCTGAAGTACAGGGACAATCCTGTTACCATCCCAAACAATTATAATTCTCCAAAGTATGTATACTTGCAACAGTGAAAGAATCCATAACACTATAAAATAGAAATTCAGTGAAATTATTGTTAATAATTAAATACTTGTTTGTGAAACATACGTATTATATGCACTATATGAAGTTCTTATTATTTTTAAACTCAATTCATTCTAAAAGCATTGTAATGGTAGAAACTAGTACGTATATTATTCGAAGCACATCAATAATTATCAATTCATCGACAATTAATTAAAACTCAGTAATGCTTTTGCTTCAAAGTACTTTTGATTGAAATGAAAAAATTCATTTTTCATTATAATAAGAATTGTAAGTATAAATCTGATTTAATAAAGAATTTATCTATAGAATGACTTACAGTGAATTCAGTCATTTCATTTGATACAATTACATTCACATGAAATTCTAATAGGTTTATGTGGTATTTTCTTAGATTATTGTGAGCAAAATGTACTTTGAACAAAATTGTGTTTCTTAAATAAACTATAAGAAATTCTTATCATTTTTTTGACTCAATTCATTAAAAAATATCTGGCGTTTTATGTAAGTACAACTGAAGTTTAATATACTGGCATTACTGGCATTGATTTATAAGTTTTATTCTATACTATTATCACATGAATTGGCAAATTCATTGGAATTGTAGTTCGATATTTAAGTTTTCATATGAATAAAATTAAATTTTCTAAAACTATTATATGTAATACAATATAAAATGTTGCAAAACTTACTCAATCTTCTATTCATCATCTCTGTTTTTCTGTTTAATGTATATTTCTGGGAAGACAGTTAAATACAACAAATGGTATGCCTTTACATAATTCACCAATAATATATTTCATTTAATTTTTTCTTTCTTGTTTCCTTACAAGTTATAAGCATCTGTGAAAAGAATATAGATTTATCACAAGAAACACTAGATAGTGATCATTTTTACTATATAACTACATCGATGTAACAATTTAATTAAAAGTTTAATTTTAATAATTAACATAGAAATAAGTTTTATTAATAATCATAAAAATAGGAATTGATATAAAAAATATAATATATAATAGCCACATAACATTCCATTTGAAATATAATAATCATAATGATAATCAATTTGTACTTACATTGAGGTTAAATGAATTCGTTATAGTCACACCATACATTGTGCACGAGTAACATTACACTTTCATATATAGATTCTGACGTTTCTGTTCGCCTGATACTTCGAAGCGATTACAGGAGCATTTTCGTAAGAAGTAACGAGAATTGTCCGCCATTTATATATTTGGAGCTGTCAAAACGAGGCAACCAATCAGAAAGCAGGACTACATTTAACAAGAAACCAGGACCGCATTTTGAACATCTCTATATGTTGAATAAAACAAGTATGTAAATTCTTTTAAAAAGTCTGAAAAACACATTATTATAAAAACTGTACTAATTATAATATTACTAATATATGTAATTTTACTTTAAAAATATACTATGTGTCTAATTTATAAAAGTTAATAACAAAATAAATTTTGTTTCATATTATTTAACTAATTACAAAGAAACGGCTCGGCCAATCTTTACCAAAAATTAAAAACTATGATTCCCCAAAAATATCTTTTGAATGGTTTATCAATTTTTAAATTCGATTTAAGGATTTTAGAAAAAACATGGGCAAAAGTTTTTGCACATTTACACTAATTTTAAAGAAACGGCTTGACCGATCATCGTAAAAAACTAATCGGGTAGAGTGCTCATGAAGCCACATTTGATGCTTTTTAAATTTTCAAAATCGGTACAGCCGTTCTTTTGAAAACGTTGACAAAAGGTCAAAAAATGTAGTACGTACACACGAATAACTAAATTTTGCAATTATCAGCTACATTATGCACATTTGCTACTTTTTCCTATGTTTACACAATAATATTAATGTTAAAAAACCATTCCCAACACTAAAACCTATCAAAATATCACAAAACAATAAATTGCATTTTTAATTTTAAAAATAATTACCCCTAACATTTCAGCAGACGGCCCTGTGAAATACGAGCGAAATTTGATTGAAAAATGTGTCTGCTACCCTAATAGATCGGCCGAAAAATTCGTATGAAAATGTATGAAATGTATGAAGGGTACGCGAGCTCTATAGACCGCGCGAATAGTACTATACTATCATATATATATTCTGAGCGTGTCTGTTCGCCTGATACTTCGAAACGATTACAGACCCAGTTTACTATGAAGGTTTTCGATCTTTCGATGTCGGCTCTTTCTATCATTGCGAAAGGAAGAATTTTCGATTGCTTTTCGAACAGCGCAATTTTTGAATAAATTAAAGAGTATGATATAAAATAAAATGAATGGATTTTTATGTATGATTGTAATTAAGTAAATAAAATTAATTATAGAACTACTAATTATAGTTTTTTCAAATTATTTATAGTTATTAATTATTGTTTGCCAAAAGCAACCTGAAAAATTCTATAAATTACACGTTATATGTTTAAAAAAAATCAAATTAAATTACTTAGATATGTATTTATATAATTACAAAATATTACAAATATACTCATATGTAATTAGCAAAATCACAATGTTTTATATATATCTTATTTAATGATAATAATATAATAATTCATTATAGGATACATAATAATTATATACATTCATATATCTAATTCCATTATTACTGCACGGAGTTTTCAAGTCTAATAATGTACAATTCAATATATATATATATATATATATATATATATATATATATATTTATATATTAAATTCCCATACAAACTAGGCCAGCTAGTATATATATAAGTAGTCCATGGATTCCAATTGGATATGAATTTTTAAAGGTTTGACATTAGTTCCTCAAGAACTGGGAACGATTTTGCATAGAGACGCTGCAAGCAATCACAGTAGGAGCTGAGGAATCTTATTGGATTCTTTTTTAAGCAATTATATATAATTAGATCCTTATTTTAAAGGAATATCAATATATACATTTATATATAGTATTGTTTAACAAATATTATCAGCTGAAAATAATAGTTTATTCGAATATAGTAATAATTTTGATAATACAAACTCAATTTATCAATTCACAAAAGTTTATTGTTCTATAGGCAAAAACGAGATTACATTAATGTTACGACTTAGATTTTCATAAAATTCATATATAAAGTTTATAATTTTTTTTAAATATATATATATATATATAGATTTATCTTCTTATTTGTATAATATTCAGATCTCCATTCTAGTAACTTGTTTGAGTAGTTCTAATCTTATAAGTATATATACATACATTACAAATATAAATAGGAAATACATTTTTATTTAAATATTAAAAATAAAATGACTAATAAATTGCATCATTGATGAAATAGTTTTTATGATTAGCCTGTTTCATAATTCTCGTATAAAGAGATTTAGTGAAAATCAATGGCAAATAAAGATTGCACTGAATAAAAAGAAATATTTAAATAATGGTATAAACCCTGTGTTTATGCAACAAAATTTTGTTTTTATATATAAAACTATTTTTATATAATATTATATACATATATTAAAAGCTATTAAATATTTATTTAGACATTAAGAAATAATTAGAAAATTATTATAGAAATTTACCACAATATGCCAATTAAATAAAGTTAGTATTTTATCGAATATTTCAAGACTAGGAATATATTTTTCAATTTTATCACAAATATTAGTATAATAAACAGATCCTATTATATAAGTTTTCTGAATTAAAATTTTAATTTCACTGGAATGCACGAATTAAACTTTCAACTCTAAAAATACTTCCATACAATCATCTCCTACATTGTAATATAAAATAATAAAAACTATCACGTTTTTGAAATTTTCTTATAAGTACATTTAAAAAACAATTGCCAAACATCTAAAATGAAGTTGATAAAATATATATATACCTAAATATAAGAGAGTATTTAACATAAATGCTCACAGTTATGTTTTTCATTATATAATATGTGTTCCCTTACTCAACTACTGTAGGTTAACACCTCCAAGTATATTACACGACTGATTTGATTTTGTACACAGTATCAAATGCAGGTAAAATTCACCAGCATAAACTGGTTTTCGAAAAATGCACAATTGAAATGAGTCAAGTAGCTATGGGCAAAACATATAAGTACCTATGGAGTCGAGTCAATAAAGGTTCTTTACAGAAAGTCATCAGAAACAGATTTTGGTAAAGAACAATAGAGCATATTTATTTGTTGACTCACACAAAAAATGCTTATATTGTAAATAATAAATTATTAATAGCAACTGAACTTATAATAAGTATTCTTAATATAAAAATCAATATACAAATGATTTTACAATGTAAACATTTTAAAAATAAATGAATAAAATAAGAGCTGTTTCTAAAGACTTTCTAAATTTGTCCTTTTTGACTCGATTAATACTTATGTTTTCTAAACAATATTTACTTAAGTACTACAATTATGGAGTGCCGAATCAAATCATTTGAACAATACCTGATTAAAACTTTAATATATATATAGATTTATTAAACAGATCTGTTCTTCATTACATCAGCAATTGAATGTATTGTTCATTATATTGGCAATTGGAAATTTTTGATCGGCACATTCTTAACAATTACTTTGCAAAAATTTGGAACTTCAAAATATATTTTTAACACAGCAACATCAGTGTGAACAATTACAAAGTACGTTTCTTGTTACAAAATATTACAAATATGATTCAAGAATCATTTTGCAACGCTATTGTGTTTACTTACATTTATCGTTTTTTTTATAAAATTATATCATTAAATATAAACATTTAGATGGACATTTATAACAAGTACTTAGGGCTAATATACATTTTTTTATTGTTGTAACAAAAGGGCTTCTAGTTCATCTGCAGAACGTAGAAGAAATGCTGCTGATTCGCGATATCCAGTTATTAGTTGGCGTACTGCACCCATTTCTGATGCACTTAATTTGTGGCTCAATAAAGGACGAGTCTTCATACTTAAATCTGTTGGACCTGCAATTATTAAAATTCCACATTCAAAAATTTCAAAGAGGCCCTAAACAAAACTAATAGCATTCTCAAATTATTACAGCTTGCAATGGATAGCTGCAGTAACTGAAAATATTAAGTATTAAGGAGGAGTTTGTTTTTGCCAAAAATTCCAATTTGATAAATTTATTTCAATTCATTCTGAATCGAATGAGATCATAAAGCGATTCTATATACTACTTACAACTAGTTAAAATTTAGAATGTAAAATGTATGCTAAATTATTGTAATAAATACTTTTTTCTTGTCTTGTCTTGTCTAGTTACTTCTAAAACTCACCGTTGGTCATAAGTCCAGGATTGAAACTCTGTGCAGGAAATAATGCTCCAGCGTAGGCTGCTGCTGTGTTGACACTGTTGACCGCAGAAGTAACTGTGCTCCCAGGTGCCGAAGACACCCTTTGGAAAGCTTGGGTAAAATTTGGCCTATACAAAGAAGTAGGTGTGGCAGAAGTCGTACTTGAAGAATTTGATAAACCATTCAGTAGTGCAGATGAATTCGTTCTAGAAAAATAAAACCATGTTAGCATTATTTAAAAATACTGAACCTAAGCCAATAAATACATCAAAGTAGTAAATTTTAATGTACTAAACCTAGTCCAATGGATATTTCATTTATTACTACTTACCCTATGCTAGATTTTGCATCAACTGAATTAATTGCAAGAGGTTTAGGTGTGGACGACACAGACAAAGGAGTTGTTGAAGTTGGAGTTGCGTAGCCAACGCTCAGGCTGGTTAAAGGTGTATCATCAGTCTTCAAGGTTGGATATAAAGTCAACGATGGTGCCACAGTAGTTTCTGTTGACTAATTTAGGTAAAATTAACACACAAAACCTTAATGTTGAATTTATGTAGTGCTTGATGTAAAACTTACCATTGATGTTGTAACTGGCATAGGTTGACTAACAGGCTCCAGGCCAACTCGCATTCGTTTCGCATTATGACTCTCATTTTCGCAAGCTTGAGCTAAAATTTGTTCTGCTTGTACTGAAGTTAAATGAGCAGGTGTTGGACGAACCTGAAAATATAATAGAATCACTTTTATAAAAAAAACTTGTTCAAAAATTACAATTTCGTATTGTCTACTTACACTTGCATCCCATGCAGCACCACCATCCCTACATTTTTTATTCCTGCGACACGATTTTAGATAAGTCCGGATTCGTTTTCGTGCTCTTTCTGCAAATTCTGGAAATTGTCTGGTACACGAGTCTATTATTGCTTGGATTTTTTCTTTGGGCTGTTTTGATATAGGAACCATGCGATCCAAATTTTCATCCACAAATAATCTGACGAACATCTGAAAAACATCAAAAAACATAAATAAAAGGATTGATCACTAATATTGTTTTATGCATTGGAGATGGTATTTACATTAAAAGCCTTCAGTCTTTCAGGATCATGAGCCAAAGCATCAATCCTAAGTTCTTCAGCTTCATCCTCACTTGCTTCTTCATCATCTTTGTGACCACTGCTGGAAGTTTCATCATGGGCTGATCCAGCTTCACCACCCAGTAGAACTGGACTCTGTATAAAAAATCAAGCATTTAGTCCCAACATTTTTATATTATTTAGTTGGAAAAATATAAAATTAATACACACCGATTGTTCTCTTGGAGGTGATGATTTTGAAAGTCCTAAAGCAGAATGGTAAGAGGCCCAAAGACCAGCAACGTCGTTTACTGAAATTGGTGGTGCAGCATTTGGAGTTTCTGAATCCAAAGTACCACGAGCTGGAGAAAAAATAATATTGGATAAAACTAATTAAACAAAAAATAAATTGAGGCAATCTAGAATAATTGGTACTTCTAATCCATATACTTCTAATTGGTGTTTCAAATACATAGTAATACTTCTAGTATGAAATTGCTACGACAATTTTATATAATAATGAATATATCTACACAACACAACATATATTAATTTTTTTATTACTATTTTCAGAACTACCATATCCATGCTAGAAGTAAATTCAAACTTAAATTTAATATGTATTTGAACTTTATAATTTCACAACAGTTACCAATGAGTTGTACAAAAAAACAAATGTATCGTTTTCCGTAGAAAAACATTAAAAGCAATAAACATGCGATCGGTAAATTATTAATAACTGAAGCAAACCACACATTATTTTTTATAAAAGTTACTTTAATGTAAATTCAAAGTCTATAATTACATATAAGCAAATTTTGTTTGAAAATTTTACCTTGCGCTTGGGTATGGTAGTTCCACGCTAGAAGCATCAGTTTAACTTTGTCGGCTTCCTTCATTAGTCCTAAAGAATTAATGATTTTTCATCATTCTTATAATAAAAATTTATAAAAATTATTTTGACCAGTACTTTGATGCTTTAATAATTGAAAAACAACAAAAATCTGGCTTTATGTCAGAAGAACTTATATACAAATTAGATTGCAAAAAAGATGGTATAAATGATATTTTATTTTATTAGATGAAAATTTAGGTCATTGTATGTGTTAAAATAAATCACTATATTAAGCCAATATTATTTATATCTATTCTAGATTAAAAAAATTAAATTAAAGTTGTAACCGATTATAATTTATTATTTATTAAAATATATTTACCTGAGTACTGATCGTTGTCATTATTGTCTGTAGGATCAGTGGTCTGCATAGTTTCCTGAAAATAAAAAAAAATTGGTTAAATTTTTTAAAATTGTTTTAATAATAATAATAAGTTTCTCGTCCCTAATATATTACTACTTTAATAAAAAAAAAGACAATAGATTTATTTTTTAACTTCCCGTAGGGCAAGTTATAGTAATCGCAAAAAAATCGAAAATGTAAATTTTTATATATCTTTACGTTTCAAAGGTTTCTGAATATTTTGGCATACCTTAGAAAAAATGGAGTTATGTGTGTGTGTGCGTGCGTGTGTGTGTATGTGTGTGTGTGTTCGGATACAAATTTTCGTCGACGATTTCGGGAAGTTGGATAAAGTGATTTGAATAATTCAAAAAACATTCGATTCGTATTGATAAGGAGATGTGCTGATTAGGTCTAACCGTTTCGAAGATATGAGGCAAAAAGTGCCACAAACGGTAACTCAGTCTTTAAGAGAACGGAGCGTCTGATTTTAATAATTCAAAAAACATTCTACTTGTATTAACAAAATGAAGAACTGATCAAATTTTCATGAAGGCAGGTCTAGCGGTTTCGGAGACCTAGTGAAAAATGTAAAAAAAATGCTATTTGGCGGTCAAAAATGATCATTAGACATACTCGTATGCACATCAAATTATCAGATATTTTATAGAGATTTTAACAATAAGTATAAATTTTGTTTACATTCTCATCGCTTCCGTACCAATGTTTATCCGTTAGACGGCGACGCGGCGCTTACGCGCTTCGATATTTCGTCTCTATGCAGTTAAAGCAGTACGATTGCTTTGAAAAAAAGTTCAGAATTTCCAAAATATTTCAAAATAAAGAAAACATTTTTTTCAAAAAGTCTTTTTGAAAAAAAAAATAAATTTTGGTAAAAAATTTATAGTTTCTCAAAAATCTAATTTTTTCAGAGTAAATTTTTTTCAAAAATAATCTTTTTTAAAAAAATAATAATTTTTGGTACGGGAAGTTCCAGCAATTTGCCTTAAGGCACGATGCCATGCGCCCCACTAGTTTTTATTCAATTTTCCCAATCCTTGGGTAAAAATCTCAACGCCCTGGGAGGCCCCATTTGTGAGGTGCTCCACGAACAATCTGTAATTCGTCTACCCACACATTTCGAGTCAGTTTCGCCTGTCAGATGTAACATGTTGTAAGGTGTGCCCAGACCGACTAAAATGATTATTCTTAGAATCCTGATAGTGCAATATTACAACTACTTGAATGAAAATGCGAAACCGATAGATATTGCATTGAAATCTTGAACAAATAGCCATTTGTTAGGATAATCTCCTAGGGAAGAATAGAAGTTTGATGGCTAATTGCCATGGATAGAAGGTGAGGTCGAAAAAAGATCTTTTTATAATATACATAGTAAAGTATCACATTCATGAAAAATTAACTTTCTATAGAATATATAACATATGTTCTAATCCAATTATTTTTTAATACTTTCTAGTTCGGGATTTCAAAATTATGGATCACTGATATAGTTATCATGTTTGTATGTTTAACATGTTGGATTAATTTTATAATAATAATATTTTATGTTTATTAATGTACTGTTTAAAATATCTTAAACTGAAGCGTATTTGATGGGTACAACGATTGCATTGATTTGTTTATATAATTTTATAGGCTATGAAACATTAATGCTATTATTAAACTAATTTTATCATATGATACTAGTTCATAACAAAAAACATCCAATGAACAAAATCAAAGACAAATTGAACTCTTATTTTATTCTTGTATCAGAAAAATCAGTCATTAACTTATTTTCACGACGTGTGGTTGATTTTGGTATTTCTCAAGCCAGACGTCCTCACGAAATTCGCCAGAAATGTTTATGAAATTCAACGAGAATCTCTGGATATTTTTAGAAGACTTGTATAGGAGAAATTACAAGTAGGCGTTTGTTGATTTTTGTGCATGAAGAGGCTAATGTGCTTGAATTATGATTGTTTGGACCGGAGATAGTCAAATCGTAAAACATTTAAGGAGAGCAACTTCAATCACCAACTTGATGCTTCAATTAGTTGTCTTCTAAACCAAACCCTTTATAAAAAAAAAAGAATTTACACCACTGACCAGGAAATAGCAAAGGAGTCTAAATTATTCTCACTTTTGAACTTGAGAGTAAGATAAATCTAATTTCAAAATTTCATACAAATTGGAGCACAGTAAAAAAATTTCAGACCCAAAACGCTCCATTGACTTGAGTAAATATTCCGTATCCGATGGCAAAAATATGAAAATACTAACGTTTGTATGTAAAAAAGGGCTGTTTTTAAAGTTTTCCCGGCAATTATTCGATTTTTTCTCGCCGTAAGAACCATCCTTGGACTTAAACAAATATTTAAAAAAAAGAATTGACCAAATTGGTCCAGGCGTTGTTGAGATTATTCTTTGATAAAATTTGTTAGTGCCTCTACTCTTGTCTCTTGTAGTTCACAATCAAGTAGTTTTAGTTATATTAGAATAGTTTTATAATGCTCTTCTATAATGCTGATATATTCATATTTAATTGTGAAATAAGTTAATTAATAAATGCGTGACAACATTTCAAACACAATTTATGAATGTGAATTAAGCGAGGAATCTCCTACTCGAAGATTGAAAAAAAAATGGCCATACGATCTTAAATAAAATGTCAAAAAAAAGATCTCATAGGAGATAAATGCATTTAGTCTTAAAAAATGTATATTATTATGATCGGCAATAAATCTATAAAAATGAAAAAAAGAAAAAGAAAAAAAATATGAATGCAGAATATTTTATTTTTCAAAGGAAATTTTAGGAAGAATTGTAGATGAACGTTGGAAACAGATCGGTTGGCTTTTAGGTATAGCACTTCAGAAGCGATGTTTCCTAGAATTCTTAACTAAAAATGTTGTCAATCCCTGTATGTATATATATACGGGTACCGTGTACGGCGTCGTTGCATTTCCTGCTGCATATCAAACACGAGGTGCAGTCAGCCAAAGGTCAGTCCATCAAGGATTTCGCGGTTTCGCGACTTTGCTCGACACGACGACGGACCGAATCGTAAATTGCACGAAAACAAACAAAAATACCACAAAACGTCACCTTAAACCACAAACGCACATTAAAAAAATTTTCGTAAAAATTTACAAGAATTTTTAGTACAAGTTGTGAATGGAATTTTGCCTTAGGTAAGTTACAGGAACTCCTTGATATGTGGGAATAATCGACATCATCAAAGGAAGAAAAAGCAACATTTGTACATTTGTAATTACATTTATCATTTTTTATAACTAAGCCCTTTTTTGTATATCCAGTAACATTTTAGGATGATTGTTAAATTAAAACCACGAAGTCTATCATAACTCTATCGCCATACAAAGTTTCATCAAAATCACAGGATTTTTTTTTTAAATTAATTACGGAGAAACGGCTCAAAAGAGGTATACCAAAAACTGATCAGAACGATTCCCCATTGATTTGAATTGAATTTCGACCAGTTCAAGATATTTATCTAGCCATTATGAGTCCTCATCGTTCCATCAAATAGTCTTCAAATTTTTCAAATCGGTGCACATTTTCAAGTAATAGGCCCCAATAATCCAGTAAAACAACTGCACTCGGATTTACTCCGAGGGAGGAGTAGTATCGGAGTGATAACTCCGGAGTGAGTTACCCATCTTTATTACTTACTATTTATTATAGCAATCGGTATCATGTAAATAAATTGGGTGTCTAATTTTTTTTATTTTAAGGTTTAAAACCCCTGTCATACTACTGTTTTCCTTTTCAAAGAAACGACAGATTAATGAATGCAAATAATAACCACTCATATGAATCGTACGTTTTGCTGTTTCTATTGTCTACTATTAATTCATGTAAAACGCCTAGCTCACGGCGATACACATTTTGTACAACTTTATATTTAATATATGCAATTATAATTGTTATGATGCTTTATTAATAGATTACAACATGTTTTGAAAGATTTATTCATAGTAGTAGCCGGATTAGAATAATTCTATACTTGAACTATATATTATTTTTAATCAGATGCAAAAGGTTACTGTAGTTAAAATAAGATGTTTTGTTTGAACATATGGGCAAAATAATTTATAACAAATTTAAACAAATTCTATAAAAGTAAGTGCAACCAAATAAATACAAGATTTTTTTGAAAATCTAGATAATTCTAAATGATAAATTAAATTTTAGAGACTTGTATACATTTTCGTAATAATTCATGTTTTTTTTTGAGTAATTTTTATAAGGGGTTGAAATAATTTAATCACAACAGTCCTGGTAAAACTAAGTGAGATATTGATTTTTAAATATATTACATTGATATTCCAACTGATGTTATATTCAAAATCTATCCTTAAAATAATTAAAAACAAAAATTCACAAGTATACTCATTTTATTTTAATTTCAGAAATTTCTGAAACAAACTGATGTACATTTTCGTCAAATTTTGTATATACTTAATGTGTATAAATTAAGTTGATAAAAATTGAATCATGTTTTGTTGAATTCAGAAATATACCACATAATTGCAAATTTTTGATACTCGAGTATTTTTCTTCAAAATATCTAAAAATATTAATACGTATTTCTGATAATAGCAACAATCCCTTTTTTTAAAAAAATATATCGATTTTTGATATATCGCAATCATATTTTAAACTTTAATAAAAGTAAAATCAAACTTCATCAGATTGAACAAATTATTAACTAGGTGTAAGTGGCATTTCGCCCTAAGGCAAGTTGCATGAACTTCCCGATAAATGTAAATAATCGATTTATACAATAAATATTTGATTTGTATAAGATCTACCTGTCTAACAGTTCACTTGGTTACCTGTCTGCCTGTCTACCTGTCTAAGTTACCCACATGTCTTATTTTATACTTTTCTACCTGCCCACCAGTTTACCTATCTACCAGTCTATATTTCTATTTGTCAACCTGTCAACCTGTCTACAGATGTATATGTCTTAATATTTGTCCATTTGTCTACCTGTCCACCTGT